AAAATACATACTAGTTCCATTTAATATAAAGAAGCTACAAGCTATAGGGAGATCCTCATCGACCACTGCTTTGGTGGAAAAAACTATGAAGAGAACATTATAAACTATGAAGACTGTCAGCCAGCCATAATCCCAAACTTTCCTGATCAAAGCTGCAAAAGTATTATTGTTAAATTTTTATAATTGCTTTCGTCAATTATTATAATATTATACATTTAAATTGCACTGATCAATTATTATTATAATTCTCTCTCATAATTTTCTTTTTATTAAATAATTTAATATTGTTTATATCACTCTTTCAGATCAAGTTCTTAATTTAATTTAAGAAATTTATGTCTAAATTTGCTTACTTTTTTAAATACTTGTAGAGAAAATTTAAATTATGGAAATAAATTTAATTCTTTTTTAATTCTTTTAGGTCTGAAAAATTAACGATAAAAATCTTTACATTTCGGCAAGAATTCAAGTCGCTGATACGCCCAGACATTGAAGACTGCGTAGACACTGATCATCAAGATTTTCATGCATAACCAAATGTAGAGACTGCTTGGAAATTTCGCAAAAGCTTTCTGTATCGTGATAATTCCAATTGAAAGCCTATAACACTCAGTGTTTTCATTAATAAGAGTTTGGTACATTTTTAGCAGATGGAAAATATTTCACTTATCGTTACATATGGTAAGTAATTTAATTAAAATTACATTAAATTTGTTTTCTTCTTTATATTCTAGGCTTTAACTGTAAAATTATTTCAAAACTTTTTGATGATATAATATGGAGCAAGTTTTTATTTTTTTTTTTTTTTAATTGCAGTTCCCCCTTTTCTCAATTCTGATTTGATATATATTTTTTTTCTACGAGAATAATTGGCATTAGAAATTTACGCCAACGAAATTTTTTATCATAAAACATTTTATTACATTTTATAAAGTTAATTTTTTAATCATTTTTTAATGAATTTAGTTTCTTGTTTCATAAAATATTGAAATCAATAATTTTGCGGGCAGAAAACAGAAATTTTACTTACGTTTTCGATTCCATGATATCGCACGCGATGATATTGATGAATAGGATTAGAGAGATCACCATGAATAAATTGCAAATCGTACGAATATCTGTGATTTTGAAGTAGTCGGTTAATATAGAGTTTCTCTCGCAATAATATTTATCCAGTAATGCATTGTTTTTGTTAGATTGCCTGCAAGATAGTAGATTTGTGAAGCAAATTATGTTCATAAAAATATAATTGATTTTCTATTGTTTTTACTTATTGTCAATACAATGATTACAATGCATTGCTATGCATTTATTCCTCGTATCGATAAATTGCAAAAACTATGCTCATGTAATATTAATCCAACGTAATAACGTAAAAAAATGCATATTCAAGAGTTTTTGCACTTTTATATTTGTTTTATTGTAAATTTTGGATGAATCTTAATTCATTCACATTGAATAATAAATCAGGCCTAAGCGAAGTTGGTTATTCTTCAAACATAAACAATTATTTTATAAAATGTTTAAATGTAAAATACTATTCATTATTTTATATCTTGATTGCAAATTTTAAAATATATCTAATTGTTTTATTAGGCTGATAATATTTTAATAAACAAGAAATAAGATACATTTAAATAAACAAGAAATTTGCATTTTTAAAATAAAATTGTGTGCGTGCGTGCGCGCGCGTGCGTGTGTGTGTGTGTGTGTGGTGAATAAAATAAATTTAATTCTTAATACTTCATATTTTTTCTATTTAGAAAAAAGCTCTGCAACCATGTTAATTATTTACTAATATATTTTTCTTTTGTATTTTATTTCACATTTTTGGAAATATTTTGTATTTTCTATTTCAAGCTTTCTTATTTTGATTTTGTTTGAATATGTAATTACTTACTTTTTGTCGCGATATTTATCTGCGTCATATAAGAACTCTTTTTTCTTTGCCGGAAACATTTCAATTTTTTGGGAAACCCTGGACATCATGTTAATTTTCTATGGAAAATATGTTTTAGATAAAATATGCCTATAAAATGCATTTATCTCTTAAGAGAAAGCATCGCATCTTATCAACCCAATTTTTTCAAAATTATAGTTTCATCACTTTTTAAAGAGTCATAAATCAAAATAAAGTACTTTATCAATACACATTCTGTTAAATCTAATTACGATCGAATCGAAATCAATAGTTTTATCACCTGGAGTTCTTGTTGCAATCTATCGCTGGTCGCCTCACGTAACACATCTCCAGATAAGTTTTCATCAGCCACTGGAAAAAGAAACACATACCAATGTAATATTTACGTTTTATATGATATGTACAAATCAATATAATATAATATGTAAATCAATATTTTTATTTCGACAGGAGGTAGAAAAAGTCATTCACTATGCTGAAATCCTGACGTGAAGAATGAAAGGATTTAAGTATGACTTTAAATTTTCAGTAACTTCTAAGGTGACCGAACTAATAAATTAACATAAACTGAACATTTTTATAATCTTGTGACAATTTTCTTTCGAAGATATTAATATGAACAATGAATTTTCTTGAGATATATATATATAATTCTACTAATAGGAAGTCAGTATATTTATGTTGGTTTAAAAACAAATTGTTGAGTGTTTTCCAGATTATTGTCACTCGTACTCATCGACTGATCTGACGAGATGTATTAATTTTTTTTTATTTTTAAATAATTATTGAATAATTGCACAAATTGTGAACTGATATATATATATATATATATATATATACTCGCAACTACTTTCTGTTACTGCAATTTTTGTCGACTGCATCTCCTCGTCGATCTGCGCTTTATAACAGCAATGTAAACGCCTGTCTACACGCGCGCATTTTTTTTGCACACTTTATGCATGCATACTATCTACATAATCAATTGCATTTATTGATGACTATCGAGAGTACATGTACATAAAAACCTATAGAAAAATTTGTCATTATATTTTATCTATAGAAAAAACTGTCATATATTTCATTATTTTATTAAAAAACTGTTATATATATTTCTACTGTAGATAAAATATAATATGATAAATTTTTTTTATAGGTTTTTATGTACTTGTCTACAACACTGTTCTAACACTCGCATGTACTTTGTACTTTTTTGTACCTTTTTTCAAAAGGTAATTTTGTGTAGATATCATGTTTTTTTTCATAAGGAATTGTGTAACTTTAATTTCTTATATTTAATCGTTGTGCATTTTATTATAGCTCTTGATGAATGACATGCGTAATATCATCATTGCTTTTCATACGTTGCATCATGTGGATTTTTTTTACTTGCAATATCAATTGTGACCGAAAAAAGAGTTATGCTTCTTGGAAATTGTTTTTCAGGTATGTATAAATAGATCATTATTTTTGACAAAAGATAAAAAATTTCAGAATTTATAACAAACTATAGAATTTTAAGAAATTAGAATCTAAAACATTGAACTGTTTAGTTACAAAAATGACAATTAAATTTTCAAATAGAATGTATTTTTTTATGTTTTGTATTTTTCTATCTGATATTGATTAGACTCGATTTCTTTTTGATAAAAATCAACGATTTTGCATTGAATTTTCCAGATTCGAAGTATATTATAGCTCTGTTTTTTATCAGATAATCGAAAATATGTTATTGTTATTGATCTTACATTTTTTAAACAACAATCTAATAATTTTTAATAAAGTGCAGTTACGTTTTTTATCGCAATTACAAATTAATCTAAATGTTTTATTATTTTTGTAAGAGATTATTATTTGTCGTAATTTTTTATTTTTAAACTTTATTTAGTTTTCTGTTAATAAATTTTCTTAAATGAGATACACAATCATCTGCTTTGATTTTTATCTGATAGGAATCGGGGAGAGAGAATCGCAATTCAAACTGTTTTTGATTATCATTATGTAGATTATTTTTGTAAATGAAAAGACGATAGATATATGGCGGTAACGCCATTTATAAAGCCATATATACAATATATTGTGTGAATATTGTATGTGCTCTTTTTTTATTCTTATGAAATAAGATACATTAAAATTATAATATACGAGTTTATATAAAAAGAAATCATTTTTTATTATTGAAGCGTTACATACGTTTTTACATATGCCAAGTTTTGTTCAATAGTAATAAAAACGTATGTCTTCCAGCTTATACAAAGTAATCTATATTAACAATATATATGTATATCTATATAAATAACATATATATGTACAGATTGAGATTTATTTTTCCTTGATGTATTTGTGTGACAAAAAGGTATTCTTTCGGGTAGATGTATTTTAGTGAATAAAAGAACGAAAAAATACCACAGAAACGCATCAAGGAAACATGTAATCTATGTGTAAAATTTTTTCATGAAACAAATGTAAGGCGAAATTTAGACTTTACAAAAATATCAACTTCTGGAGAAAAAATTTAAGACACTTTCAAAACCAAACAAGAATAATTAAAATAACATGTCGACAAGAAAAGACTTACATTTATCCACTAGAAAAAGTTTGTTATTGGCACCGAATACTAAGATTGGCATATTAAACACATTATTGCAAACATATTATCTGAATCAAATGCGACAAATAAGACAATGGAAAATAACAAGACGAAGATTAAACAGCTAACGACTAAAAATTTAAACACTATTGTCTCTATGCTTTAAATGTACAAATGACTCATTGTTATAAATTGTTTGTAGAGATAGATGCTAATCTTCTCGACAAATGCTCGCAGTTGTAGACAAGAGTCTCTCTTGAGCTATTTTGGCTATTGTAAGTGTTATCATCCAAAATTTTAATACAATTAATACAATTAATACAATTAATAATAAATGCCGAATTAAGGTAATATCGACTTGCTCCAATCTGTTTTTAACATACCAATCTTTTATAGTAATCCTCTATTATTTCATTGTTAATTGTTTTTAGACGAGCCTATATCTATATTATATTTAATTGATTTACTTAATCTTTAAATATTTTCATTTTTGTACCATATTCCATTATTATTTTTCTCTGCTCTAGAGTTATTCATCGATATTGGAAATCTATTTGATACAAATTTAACAAAATCTTATAAGTTTTCGAACGACTTACAGAAATGAACGACTTATTGAAAAGTGAAACTCGTCGAAACTTCTTTAATAAATTTTTCAAGAATATTTCAAGATATTTATATAATTGTTATCAAGAAAAACATGGAAATATAAAACTACTTAATAATCACGTATTAATAAAGGAATTGTTTATAATTAATTGTAATCGTAAATGCTATTAAAAGTGTACGTACAAAGTCGTTTAATCCAATTCAACGTTTTAATCCATTTAGAAGAAAATTTACAAACAAACGAACTAACAGAAAAAGAATAATGGATTATTATATAAAAATGACCTAAAGATGTAGTAAATCAAATTGCGTAATAAACACTGAACTCCCCCTCCCCCCTCCCCCCACCCATAAGTCTTTGAGAATTAAGGATAATGTTTCGAATCTCTACTAATTTTATAATTAATAATAAAAGAATTTAAAATATATTAAAATTATAATATGCAAGTGAGAAAATTTATAAATGGATCAAAACGTTGGCCAATTTGTGCATTTTTGATAATGTTTGTGATTACAACTGATTGTAAACAATTTCTTTATCAATACGTGATTCTTAAATGTTTTATTCGTTTTTTTACGTTTTTTTTTCTTGATCCAAATTATATACATATTTACGATTATTTTAGGGAAATCTATTAAAAAAGTGTCCCCAAGTTTCATTTTTTAAGTCGCAAAACGATTTATTGGATTTTATTAGGTTTGCAATATTAACAAACGAGTAGAAAAAATTACTAACATTATTAACAGCTCAAATGCTAAGCATTGGACTCTAATTTGTAACTCTCTAATTCTTCTATTATTATTTTATACGAAAGAACATTTCTTCACATTTTGCTAACAATTCAAGATTGTTCACTCATTTGTTTGTTGTAAATGATTTTTTCGACAGTAGATAAATATTCAGCTAATATATACAAGTAAAGTATAAGAAAATGATCTTGAAAAAAATTCATTGCTTATCGAGGATAGGACATCCTACGCGTAAAGTCGCTGGCAGCTCCAGCTTCGCGGCAGGAACAGATCTATGTAATAATTGGAATAAGGCGCACAGTTCATTCGGGCGTAGTACTCAATCGCGTACATGCTGAACATGATGCCGTTGCCTAGGCAGAAGCTCATCCACATGAAAATGTTGCTCTTCGCGAACTTGCCGGCGAAGGTGAGGGAGAAGCCAAGACCGAAGAACAGAACGAACATCACCGGATAGAAGAAGCGCAACGCAAACGCTATGATGTACTCGTGAAACATTGCGGAGGCGAGAAACACGGCGAACATTGACAGCGGCCTGTTGCGCGGCATTATTATCTCGTACATATCCTTGTAGATGTATGTGTAGAGCCAATCATGCACTACCACATTCCATGTACGGTGGTACGTGTGATAAGTCGTGCAGTTCCACCAATCCTATAATAATAGTGATGAGTAATTGATGAAATTCATTATTTATAATTGGATAAAAAATTTAGTTACAAACGATTCCTGAAATTATCTTATTTCTGAAGAATATGACACATTATAATAACTTTTTAAGAATATATATTTTAATTATTTTGTCCTTTTTTTCAAAAAAGAAGATATTTAAATATTAAATTAAAAAAAAAACGATTAGAAAGACAAATCAATCACTATGATACTCACTTTGTAAAACATCCGGTCGGCAAAGCGCAGCATTTCCGCCCAAGCATTTAACCATGCATGTAACAGAAGATAGTTTCCAGAGATAAACATGAGAATCCCGGGAATGCTCGCTTCGACAATGCTCTTGATATACCATTTTTGTTCCAGGTCTCGCGTGCCGAAGACGTTAAAAACCGGCATGATAAAACGCTCCACGATGAAAGCTTGATAAAAGATGACTATACCGACTTCAGCGAAATGTTTAATAGCCACCATCCATCTGATCCTTTTCGTTCTGTAAGGTAAGGTTTTTTTATGCATGTTCTACTTCTATCATTCAATCTTTCATGTTAATGATATTTTCTACGACATTAATATTTTTATCACATTTATATTATATCATTGTATACTATAATAATATATTATACACGAGGTTTTTAAATATGCATTCTCGTTTTGTGAATACAATATCAAGTAAGGAGTGGGCAACGATGTAAATTTTAAAATTGTTTTAGTAGAATTGAAATTATGGCAAATTAAGAATTCTTCGAGACTAAGTTTTTCTAGTTCTTTTGAGGAAGTTTTTTATAGCTTACGAAATGCGAACAATACCTTGGAAAGCTATCGCGGTAGACAAGAGTTGGCGCAAACAGGAAGTATAAGTAATGCGAAAACCCACAATTGCTTGGTCGTGGAACTTCATTATGAGGTTTGTATGATAGGAACTTGGGCGCCGCGCTTCTAACGAAGGCGTAACTCTTCATCACCATGCGTGTCTGAAAAAGTAAATGACACTGATTTACATGGGGAAAACATGAATTGTTGTTCTGATATTAACTAACATTAATATAACAAGTATAATTATTTGATATTCTGTTTGTCTTTTATGTTAATTATACTTTCGATAACGTTAACTTTCTTAGTCACACACATGATTGTTATAGTATTATATACTATAAGAATGTAACATATATTAGGCTTTTAAATATGCATACTTGTTCCAAAAGTATAATAAAGCTACAAGCTATAGGAAGATCTTCATCTAGCATTGCTTTGGTGGAAAAAACGATGAAGGAAAGTTGATAAACTATAAATATCGTCAGCCAACCATAATCCCAAACTTTTTTGATAGCAGCTGCAAAAATATAGTTAATTTTTTATAATTACTCTTGTCAGTTATTATATTATACATTTAAATCGATCGCGATTATCGTTATAGTATAGTAATATATGTAACTATTTAATCAAACAATATGTTCCTATTAATTCAATAAGTCGTTTTAATTTTATTTCTTAATTTCGTTGAAGCAGTCAGTCTAATTCTTTTCAATGTCTACAATTTAAATTATGTAATTGTGAATTTAATTCTTGTTAAATCTAAAAAAAATAATGGTTAAATATATTCTTACATTGCGGAAAAAATTGAAGTCGCTGATACGCCCAGACATTGAAGACTACATAGACACCGATTGTTGAGACTTGCATAAGTGACCAAATATGGAAACAAACTGGAAATTTCGCGAAACCTTTCTGTATCGTGACGGTCCCAATTTGAATCCTTTAACAAACATTGCTTCTGTTAAGGAGAACTCGATACACTTTTAGTAGATGAGAGATATCTTAATAAAAACGTGTCACATGTTGCGAGTAATTTTCCAGATACAATAATGAAGCAATTGTTTCTTCAACCCTAATAGAGCGTGTCATTTTAGATAAGCTACATTTTTCATTAGTAACATAATGTAGAATTACTCTGATGTAAAGATATGTTACAATTTGAGACCTTAAGTTTTAAATTATTTTAAAATTTTTTAGTCAATTTAAATTATTAAACATCAATTTGGAGGCCTGATATTTTTTGAATACCTCAATTGTCTCAAGTATTGTAGAGCCTTTTTAATGACAGTATAAAGCATTTTTATTTTTTAAAATTTGTTGATCGCGAGATCTTTTTGCAAACACAGTTTAGTGCATATTTTTTCCTACTTTATCAAATAATTTTGCCAATGAAAAAGAAGATTTCACTTACGTTCCTAATTCCATGATGTCGTATATGACGGTGTTAAGAAATAGGAGTAGGAAAGTTACCATGAATATATTGTAAATCGTACAAATGTGCGTGATTTGGAAAAGATCAGTGAGTAGCGAATTTCTTTCGAGGAACTCTTTATCTGGTAGTGTACCTTCTTTGTTGGATTGTCTGCAAGATAATTGGTGATTTGTAAAGCAAATAATATATTATTAACACGTACTCTAATGTATTAATTTATTATCAATAGATTCGATAGCAAATTTGTATTTATTGCTTGAAATATTTAATTGCTTACTTCTTGTCGCGATATTTGTCTCTGTTATACAAAATTTCTTCCTTTTTCGGCGGTATCGTTTCTATGCTTTGCAGGACCTCGGATATCATGTTGTTCATATGTCCCAAGTCTTCTTTTATTTCCTATGGAGAAACGTGTTTTAGGCTAAATATGCGTCATCTCTTGAAAAAATACATCGTATTTTAAAGACTACAATTTTTACGAGCAATGATTTCCAAGTAGCGTTGCTTTCGAAAGATTTTAATCCCGGAAAAAAATCATGTTATTCTAATACAAAAAGTTCTATCGAATTCAATTAGGATCGAATCAATAGTTCGCACCTGCATTTTTTTTCGCAATCCGTGGGGAATCGTCTCCTGCAGCACATCCGTAGATCCGTTTCCGTTGACCACTGTGGAAGAAGAGAAAAACAATTATATAATTATCATATCTGCGTGATATTTGTAATTCCAATACGTTGACATGTCCGATGTATATATTAGATAAAGTTTTGAATTAGAATTTCATAATATTATTACACACTGATAGAGAGGATGTAAGGAATGCATTGATTTAAGGAATGCTCAAGCTAATACAGAAAGAGAGCAAGCTATTTACAAAGTAACATTGCTATCGTGCGTACTTTTATCAGAGCCGATAAGATGAACCTTTAAATTAAAGTATAGTAACCGAGATACTTTGACAAGTGCCTTTTCTCTCGAATGTAGATATGTGTGTGATATAAATATACAATATCGATATCAAATATGAACGTATGTATCAAAGTTTTATATTTACCGTAATTATTCTGTAAAGGTAAATGTTTCTATTAATTTGGACAATTTTTGGAAAATTTGTCAAAAGATCAGATTTATCTTATTTATATTATTTTTACACGTTGCAAATTCTTTAAACTTCTGAAAACTAATTTAAGCGATAGAAGTGATTAATAGAAAAGAAGTAAATTTTTTATGCTAAATTAAGTTTTTGCAAGCAACATACGAATATTTCTCCTTATGTATTTTGTATTACGCATTAAATTTTGCAAAAATGCGACGTACATATTTATATCAACATTTCATTATCAGCTTTTAAATGTTATCGCGGTTAGAGAGAAACATATTCAAGATAGATTGAGAGAATATAGGATAATAACAAACAAAATTGAGCTCATCGTGTAATAAACAGTTTTCATTCTTCCTGCTTCAATATCAAATTTTAACGAAGTTGGATTAGTGATTTATGAAAAGTTAATTCCAAAATGCGAATTTTTTGATTATTTAAATTTAAAAATTTTCAAAACATAAAACAACATACAAATAATTTTGATAAATTTGAATCAAATAATTACAAATTTTTTTCAATTATCTAATACAACAATTATATTAATAACAATTATCTAATAAATATCTATAAAATTACAAGAAAGAAAAAACTTGAGCGCTAAGAAAAATAAAATATCGAAGAGAGATTTGGAGAGACTTGCAGAGTTTAATTATTTTCGAATTAATTATTTTTAATTATTATTTATTGTTTAATTATTATTATTATTATTAATTAACATTATATTATTTTTTCAGAATTTCAACTTACTTTTTTTATGAAAGCCATTCGTCACACTGGAATCCCGATGAAGAGGATAGGAGGATTCCGAAGAATCATATTCAACGCTGTTTGTAGTTTCTGAGTTAACCGGTTTCATGATTATGAAATATTTCTACAAATTCTATAATAATTTCTTTTCAGAGATATTATATTGTTTGAGAGCGCGATAGATGATCTTGCTAGAAAGTCGATGGCTCCATGCCGGTTAAGAGGCAAATCGAGTTTTGAAACTTTTTTTTTTTATTGTTTTGCTCCTATATTCTTCGTCGAACGATCCGGTAAGATGTAATCAATTTTCTGTTTCAGGACGAGTCGATAATTTGCGACAATGTGTGAACTGTTACACACTCGTAGACATTTCGATGTTACTTCAATTTAATTTCGATTATGCTTCTTCGTCAATCTGCGCTTCGTGACAACTGAATGAAAACTGCTCAGCTCACACTCGGCTTCGTGCGCACGAACTACAAATGCGGTTCGACCGCACTTATCATCGATGACGGGGAGCACGTACATGTGTACTGATCTAGCTTGCGATGATCGTGTATACTTGACGATAGCCCTCGGGGGTATGACATGCGTAAGTTATCATTGTTTTTCTCACGTCGAGTCGATTCCTTTGACCCGAGAGAATTATCGTAACAATATATTATTCGAGAATATTATGAAAACTGCTTTCCAAGTACATGTAAATAAGTTAAGTATTTTTTGATAAAAATAAAGAAAAAGTTGAGGTATTATAACGAATTATACAAATAACATTTATAATTTTTAAATAACAAATAATTTGAAATAAAAAATGTTTTGGGAGGTAAACTCTTTTAGAATATCAAACAAGATACTAAAATTATATTTTTCTGTTAATTACGATTGATTGTTTATAAAATCTTAATTGATTGGTTAATTAGAAAGATACGTATGGAAATAAAATTGTGTTAAATCACAACACTTTTAATATTTTGGAGAAAGAAAATATTAATTTTTAAACGGTGTTAAAAAATTTGCCATTAAATCACAATGCAAAGGTGATAAATTATATAATTATACTTTATAGATTTTTACAAAGTAAAAGTTAATATAATTATAACAATATAAATTTATATTCTTTACATTATTTTATATAATGTAAAGTGTATCACAAATAATTACATTTTTTATATTTATATAATATGATTAATTACAATTATATATTATGTATGCATATTTATAATACATATATATTAATACATATATTAATGCTTGATAGAATTTTATATCAAGATTTATAAATATATATAGTTTTATACATTTTATATATATATATATATATAATTTTATCTTACTAATAATTTTTATCTTACTAATAAGTTAGTTAGGAAAAGTTGCGTTGCAAATTCTTTGCAATAAAAAATTCTTTGTTTAGAAAATATATAGGTCGCGAATATGACTTGATAGTTTGCTTGTTGCTAGTCGGATAATTCTTATAATCTGCCTGACCTTTAAATCTTTTAACCGAGATGTGACACAAGTGCAGGAGTACTCGATGAGTGCACATATACGTCTGTGATAAGCGATAAGTAATAGTTGACTGAACGCCTTTCAGATTCTTTTTGTTCCTGGTTGCTTTTCATCATTCGTCGATTAGAAACTGATAATGAGCTCTATCGGTATTTTATTGAATATAATTGTTATATATTATATATAATACATATACGATATAATAAATTGAGTCAGAGATGCTGATAACAAATACTTTCTTTTTTCAAATGAGAAATGCTTTGCCTAATTATAATTAGCTTAAATTAAATATTAATTAAAATTATTTAATTTTTCTTATTTCTGACGCAAACAGCGAAAACTGAGCCGAGCTCTGTGCTATGCGTCTTGCGAAAAACATCAGAAATGTTTTAAAGTCTAATTAAAAACATGGCGAAAAATATTTCTCGTTCATTATCTGGATATTTTAATATAATTTGTTTGTTAGTGATCGCGTATCTGTAATATAATGTATATCACACATTCGCCTTGCGAACAGACAAACCTATTGACGTGATTGCAAGGCGCATTGCCTATTCGTTGGCGACATTCCGCTTTGATCAAGGCGGACAGACATTCGCTCACTTGCGCACTAGCAAACTTTGACATTTAATTTCAACGACCTGTCTCGAAGAAAGAAGTGCTGATAAAGTAAAATAAAAATCGATATTAAGTAGATCCCAAATTTCAATTTGACATTTCAATATTAAAGATAGAAGTAGCTCATTTGTTATTCGCGCATTAAAGTCTCTCACGTTCCCTTCGTCTTAACTTTTGCTTCGCTCTCTCTACCTACTCTCTTGTGAAAGTACTTGTGGCCGATCGGAGCAAGGCGGGGGGAAGCGGTCCTCCTCGAGAGAGAACTACCTCCGATACCTTGGTAGACGATGCCACGCAGTGCAGTCGTCGTCGTTCGGCCAACGTTCACCTCGACTGCTGCTTTCACCCGACCGATTCTGATTTCGCGCGATCTTCACCGTCCGTGACGTTTTTCTCAGCGTCAGAAATATTCTCAATACGGTAACGTTTTCTCATCGATAGAAAAAAGGAATACACACACGTGAGGAAGAAAGGTGCGCGCCAAGTTAACATCATCTGTTAGTGACAAACATCTTGAAGAAGAAGAAGAAGAAGAAGAAGAAGAAGAAACGGATTCAGGAAGTGAACACGGATCTTTCGATTTCATCCGCATCCGTCGACTATGACCGACCTCATCGCGAAGACATTGGGGATAAAGATTTAGCTGAATCGTTCGCAACAGGTATGAAATCATTTATTTTGTTCTTTCAGCGATTATCGTCGATTAACAAGCGCTAATCATATTTGATTTTGTAGTTGACACTTAGGCATTATTGATATTTATTACACACAACAATAATTTGATTCTGATAAAATATTTATTATCTTATAAATTTTATTTCATTAGAATTAAAATCAGAATTGTTTAATTTGTTATAGAATTCTTTAAAAGTATGCAAGAAAATGTTTTTAGAATTTCTTAAATCTCACCTCTTGATCTTTCCAAGATTTGCATCGCTAATTTTAATACTCGTAATATGTTAATTTCGATGAAACTTTTAGGAGATAGGAATAATTGTGATATCATTCAAATTCTTCATTTTGTGATTACTATTTTTAAAAGGTCTTCTTAAAGGTTCTTTATTTTTGTAAATTTCTAAATGATAAAATTATTAACTATTTAGTAATTCTAATATCAATCTGAGAAAATCGCGCTTCAACTAATGCTCTTTACGTTACAATTACGATCTTACTGGGTTAACTTCCTACTTATTAACCGCCGCGAGCAGAAATGAAAGTAGTTTTGTTGCGTGCCCCCTTTACGCTGTTACGCGAAAACTATGTCTGCACAAAAGTTTCTCAAGTTTCCTTCCTAGATTTTAGATTTTCTTTTTTTTTCTTTCTTCCTGTTTTTGAAATTGGTTTCTGAAGCTTTAGAATTCCATGATGCAAGGAATAAAGAATTTGACAATTAAAGTAATGAAAACTTAAAAATGTATTAATAATTATCACAATTATTAATATTAGCATAACACACACAAAAGGATAAGGAAATGATGATGATAAAAATCAAAGAGCTAAAAATCTCACAAATAGCTTGAAAAATGATAACAAGAAGAAAAGAATGAACGGATTTGTGCATGATAGCGCAATGAGAACGTGCAAGGCGAACGTACGATTTGTTGGTGTGTCGAAACGATTTCGTATTTACTTCTAGAAAATTTCATTGATCGTCTTGGGAGATGAGTAAGGGGGCGGCATGAAGAATACCTCCGTGACGACGATACGTTGCGGGAGATCGCGGCTATGAGGAGGTGCAATAATTTCATATTTATGAAACGACGCGTGACCTTGCGTGCGATACTTTCACTATCGCCGATAATTGCACAGAATCGATTGATTGCATTCGCACTAGACCGCTTGCCGTTGATTGATGGTCGCACGACAAAAGCCGAAAGACAGTGCGCGTCTCTGAAATATTTTTCTACAAAAGTCATTGCGTACCAGAGGTTTTATCTGACAATGAATCGCATGACATCATGAACGATTGTCCGCCGTTGATCCATCGAAATCTCATTAATTGCCAGCTTCGCGGAAGTTGGCTTTATCGATATTAACGTAAAGAGAATTAACGGAGCGATAAGACGCGCTTTTCTAATTTTTCCCGATTGTGGTTCAAAAGATACATTATCGGTGATATCGCGACACACAAATGTATATAAATATAGAAATTACCGCGAGGATGGCGCGTTTTTCCATCGATATCGTTCTCAAAAGTGCCATCCGTTGTGAGAAGTGCCATCCGTGCGACTTATGTCGGCTGCGGAAAATTCGACCGTATAAAATTGATAGGTTGTTGCGCGCAAAGTGTGCGAATTTCTTTTTTCATCTTATTTCCGTTTTTGGGAATCCGAAACAATCAAGCTGAGATTTTATACGTATTTTTATATGAATCGAAAGAAAAAAAGATTCTTGTCGCAAAAATAAATTTTGTTTCGTAGTGCGACAGTGCGGGGAAGAAGAGAAAGTAAGCCTGTTACGAAGTGAGATACATGCTGCTTTATCGAGTTTCGCGAGACTCTATGCGCCAAGTGTTGTGAATGATGTGATTACGCATTAGCAGAACTTTGGAAAAAAAGCGTAACAAATTTTTATTTAGGAAAAAATTTACTTGAAAATTCTATCGCAAAAATCGTTAGAAATGACCTCAGATAGGTAAGAATTTTCTCTGCTACGCTTTAATCAAATAGAATTAACAATTTAATAATGAAAATGTATATAAATGTATATTATGCTACAATTGTCCAAAAAATATGATAGATAATTTTATAAAATATATTTAGACAAAATGGAATTTTCTTTGAAAAAAAATAGTTGCAAATTTTTGTAACACAAGTACTAAAATTTTTAATAACTCAACAAGATAGAAGATAGTAAATTTTAAAAAATTACAGGATAACATCTCTCGAAATAGCGTCAAATTAAATTAAATTGATGTATCTGTAATTTAATCATGTGTTGAGAGATTACTATAATCTAATCTATAGATAATTTCAAATTTTAATCACATCTGAAATCTATAATTTAAAGAAATAATTGCACAATCGAAACTCATGATAAATGCGAATCACCTTTTTCGATGCTATTTGATACTGGTACAAATGTTTGCTTCACGGTGCATCCTTCGCTACGTACGTACGTAACCACCTAGAAATCGTGGGTACCGCTCGACAAAGAATTCTTCTCTAGTGAGAAAAAAAATAAGTAGCCGAGCGACATGACGTTCTCTTAAGAACGACGGGAAAAATGTTGATTCACAATCCAACGATCGAGGACGATGAACTGGATCCGGCTGTCGATCGTCGCCGCGCGCGCTTCCCCTTTACGCCCGCGTTAAAATCCACTCTTGAAATATATCCTCCGTCACAAGGCAAGGTCGTTCCTTTCCTTGTGACCTCGCGTTCCTCCGAGAACTCTGGCTCCCTTCGTGTGTAAGCGTGACTCACGTACATGCTCACGCTCGCGCTGCGCGCGAAATTCTTTGGTGAACCCTGCGCCAGGTTCGCCCGCTTTATCCTGCTTTATCAAGCATCTGATAAAAAATCGATAAAAGATAGATGAATCTTTTATTGCGATAAATCTATTATTAATCTTCCACTAATCTTGATAAATTGATGTTTATTAAATAACTTTTTATGTCCATGATAAACTATTTTCTTGTGAGATAAATCTTTAGTATTGTTTCCAATAAATCTTGGTTGAACAATGGGTCTCTCCTTGAATAAATAGGTCTTTTACAATTATTTATAAATTGATTGCTGATAGGTAAACGTTTTGTTATTCTCAAATTTGTGTCTTAAACAATTTGAGAATAACAAAACAATAAGTATAAATTTGATTTTTGCTAAATAAATTTTTGATTAATCAAGCTTTTTCTGAATAAATAAGAAAGTGTGAAAGTTATATCATAATACAGTTTAATATTGATTATTAGAATTATGCCTTTTAACTGTCGATTTTCTCCAATCAACCGCATTTTCTTTCGCAAGCGGACAGTTCGTCGTACTGTGCATTGTCCCAGAAACTTATTATTCCGAATTAGTAGCTAACGGTATACAACTTCCTGACAGTTTCGACTCACAATCAGAGATTTCTAAAAAGTTGGACGAGAAGTTTAAAGCTAAAGTTGAAAAAATATTTTCAATAATGCGGATATGAAAAAATATGTCATTCAATTGAAGAGATGTAGCGAAATGTTGTATTTATGTGTTAAGTTAGATATTATTATTATATGAATTAAATATTAATTAAAATATATGATTATTTCCATACTATTTTGATCATTAACTTGTTTCTAAAAACAGTAATGGATAATGTTTCTTTGTTTTTTTATAAAAATATGTATTTAGATAATTAAGATAATTAAAATTAATCAATAATGTGGCTACTTATAGACTTTTAATTAACTTAAGTGGGCAGTAAATTTTTGTTTAATTTAATTAAAATAAAATATTTTTACATTTTACAAATTTTCCGCGTTTCGCAAATTTCTCTTTCTATGCGATGTGCAACACATAGAGCATCACAGCAATGCATCGTTTCTTTATCGAAAGACATAGATGAAAAAACGCAAAAATGAAGAAGAGACGAAAGAGCGCGAAAAAGAAAAAGGTAAAAGGGTTGTGTACACAGTCGACATCGACATCGGGGACTTTTTTTTGACCAGGCGTGGCGATGTGCGGAGGGAGAAGGGATTGAGGGATACCGAACACAAATAGCGTGAACTCCGAGGCTCCGCGAGGGCGGCAATGGCCGCGGAACGGCGAATTGCAGTGGACGTCCTTGCTACGTTATCTGCCACGTCGTTTCGTTTCCCTTTCACTTTCAGCAGCGAGTCCAGGAACCAGAAACCCCGGATCTCGGCTTGCACGCTCGCTTGTCGGCGCGAACAAAGACATGCACACGCCCCCGAGTTGGTGGAAAGAAGCCGTGTGCCAGATGTTGACGAAAGATAATTGAGCGAACGCGATATGATGCCGTGATAAACTTGCGTGTCCAAGTTCGTCGGATTATCGTATATATGAATTATGAGATCGTTGCAACGACAATCTCTATTCTTTAATACTGAATCAGTGATCAATTTTCGCTCGATTACAATTTTTCATTAAATATCTGAAAGGAACAAAATATTTTTTAATTACAAAGAATCGTTTATGATAATTGTAATAATTATTATACAAAGATGTGGCAATGTTAGTGACAATAGTAAAAATATATTGTATACAAATGTTAGAGGATAATTTTATACAATTTTTATTAAAATTCTTAGATGTTTAAAGATTTGATACACTTTGATCTCTCAATCTTTTGACCATTCTCCTTTTCAACATCGAAGACATGTGTCATTTTTTATTTTTTGCATTTCCGAATCGTTTTCTTAATGGAAAAAAATAATTATGACAAATTACTGTTTGCAGAATGGCAAAGAATCAGCATCAGAATGGTGTAATACCTGGAGGTGGCACGATGACCGGACCGGACGATTTTTCGGATGGTGAAAGCACTCCTCTGACTCAAGACTATGTCGGAAGGTACAGTGATTTCATCATCATTAATGATTTCTTTCCTTCAGAGAAGGCGTAATAACGAGAAAAGTAAAACATTAAAGAGATTGAATATAATTCCAATCAAAGAAATTTAAAGAAAAAGAAAAATCAGAAATGGCGAGAAGCAAAATTAAGAAAAATTGGAATATTAAAGTAGATATGGATTACATAGATAAACATATTATGAAATCAAGGAGAGTTAGATTAAAAAATTGCTCAAATATTTACTTATCACTTAATTAAAATGTTTCGTGATTGACTCAGTCAACGCACGATCGTCGAGACGAAGGGATGGGACGTATTCCGGAATCCGCCGCCGAAGACCGACTCAGGGTCTATGGCGAATCAAAAGTGTTTGGAAGGTATGGTGAAGGTGACCAAGGTTTTCGTCTACCTGCTAGTTTTCGTTATAGTGCTGGGAAGTGGCGTAGTCGCCAAGGGAACTATTCTCTTCATGACATCGCAGCTTCGTCAGAACAAACAGATGCTCTACTGCAACCGACAACTAGGTGAAGATTTCATAAATTTTATTTGGACAAGAGAAAGAGGTTGATTGTATAGTCTCATTTTTCGAGCACAATTATAGATGATATTATAAATAAAATATATATAAAATATTTGATAATTTTGGAGTATGAATTTAAAGTTTAGAGAACAAAACGATGATGATTTGATGATCTTTTTACATTTATTCAACGTTTCATAATTATTTCAAAATTTTTATCTTTACTAATTATTGTTTGCTTTATTTATTTTCAGATCGAGAAAATCAGTATATAGTGACGCTACCCGAAGAGGAAAGAATTGCCTGGATATGGTGCATAATAATCGCGTTTGCAGTACCAGAGTTCGGTACGCTGGTACGCAGCATCCGTATGTGCATCTTCAAGTCATGGAAGAAGCCGCAATTAGGGCACTTTGTCCTGGTTTTCATCATGGAGACGTTTCACGTCATAGGCCTTGCTCTGATGTTTCTGGCGGTACTGCCTGATCTGGACGTCGTCAAAGGGGCGATGTTGACCAACTGCGTGTGCTTCGTTCCCGGATTACTGGGTAATTTATTTTATATTTTTTTTAATCATTTTTAATCTAGTCAAATTTGTTTTAACTTTGCCTTTCTTGAGATTTTTATATATAAATAAATAGTACAAATACAATAAAGAATAATCTATAAACAATTGAATAAATGTTTAAAGAAAAATTATGTATAAATTATATTGTATAATCTGCTAATATATGTATATATATGCTAATTATATATGTTCAATTATTTATGAGTGTGTTCCGTTCTATTTCATTTATTTTTAGTTTACTTTTTTCTATCGTTTCTAGATTAGTAGATCATGTAGATATATATGTATATATATAAAGTGTATATGTGTGTATAAGTATATAAAATTTTTAAGAAGCAGGAAAGGAAGAGAGAGAGGTAAACTAAAAGTCGATGAAATAAAACGGAACACGCCCATAAATAATGAAATAGCATTTCGAAATCAGATCCGCCTGCTTTCGATTGCGATCATTCGACTTTCGCGTTCGATCGCGATCAACGGTTCCTTGTATTATCGAGCGAATAGTCATGCTAGAATAGGCAAAATAAAACATGCACTATATATGTTATTGCAGGTCTACTTTCTCGTAACAAAAGCAAAGGTGAGTCAAAGAGGTTCGTCCTCGTTCTCGTCGACATCGCCGCTCTGGCCGCACAGGCAACCAGTTTTGTTCTTTGGCCTCTGCTGGACTATTCGAAGCGATCCTTATGGCTAATTCCTGTCGCACTAATTCTCGTGTCCTGTGGCTGGTGGGAAAATTATGTCTCCACGCAAAACCGGATCGGTAAATTCTTTATATATAATTTCTTATTAGCATTTTCTTATATTATTCTTTATTATTCAAAAAATTTTTATTCTACATCAATATATTACAATTAAATTAAATTAATTGTAAAAATACTTTACTTGTTCAATGAATTAGATAACTAATTATATTTAACTACGTTTTAGTTATAATAATACATTTACATTTTTATTAAAATTTTATCAATTAATATTAATTAAATCATCATGTTACATTAAATCATCAAATAATTGATGTAATTGTTAGAGTCTTTTTCTCTTTATTCTCGCAATTTCTTTTCGCAGGTTTGATCAGATCGCTCGGCAGAGTGAAGAAGGAGATGAGACTGACGCGATACTTTACTTACATGCTTGTGTCCGTCTGGAAGATCGTGGCATTCTTTATCAGCTCGTTACTGATACTATACATAAAAGGGGAGAAAATCGGACATCTTTTTACCATGTTGGGCAGCGCATTCAGCGAACACAAAATCACGGTCACATCCATTAAATCAATCACCGCCAACAGCCTACCCGATCTCTCGGAGATCATCACGGGTGACATCACCGAGACTTTCAACTCCGACCCTAACACGGCCATCTATGTCCTTCTGCTGCAAATTTTCGGCGCATACTTGGCCTATATTTTCGGTAAGTAAAGTTATTTATTTTATTTTATTTTCTGTTCCAACATTGCACTTGATTTATTATAAATAAAATAAAGTAATATAAGCTCGCAATAATAAATAAATTAAAAGGTGGAAATGTGGAATGGGGATATATTGATCTCAAACCAGATGTAATTGCCGTCGAAAGTCTTCTTTATTGAAAGTCTCCAATTTCAAACGTTTTACTTAGCAATTCGCGTAATTGAGGATATTCTCATTTCCACATTTTAATTTATAAATAAAATATTAATGATCAAGAAATTTTTTATTTTGTCCAATATAATTTATTTTCTAAAAGACATTTACGAAAATTTGCTGTTTTTCAGGCAAATTTGCGTGCAAGATCTTGATTCAAGGCTTCAGCTACGCGTTCCCGGTGAATCTTACGATACCGGTGTCGATCTCGTTGCTGATTGCCGCCTGCGGTCTCCGCTACAGCGATCCGTGCTTCTTCCACGGCACCATTCCGGATTATCTGTTTTACGAATCGCCACCACAGTACTTCCTCAATGACTTTGTGTCAAAGCAGTACGCCTGGGTATGGTTGCTCTGGCTGTTGTCGCAGACCTGGATCACCTTGCATATCTGGACACCCAAATGCGAGCGTCTCGCGGCCACGGAGAAACTCTTCGTGGTACCGATGTATGACTCTCTGTTGATTGATCAATCGATGGGACTGAATAGGAGAAGAGACGATCAACCGGAAGTCAAGGTCGAAGTAGGTATCTTTATTCAGGATAATTTTCAATATAATTGATCAGCAGAATCATAAAATAAATTAATATTAGTTTTAATTTTAATATGAATTATAATTTTTAAATTTTTTCAAATTTTTAAACTTAATTTAAAAACAATTGAATTATAAATCAAGTTAGATTTATTTATTCTTAAATTAATTGCTCATTTAATCGACAGGATTTGGCGGAGATAGAGAAAGAGAAAGGCGACGGCGACTACGAAACGATTTACGAGCAGACGGACGGCTCGACTACACCTCCGTCCACGGTGAAGAGTAGCGATCATGTAACCAGGATCTATGCTTGCGCTACTATGTGGCACGAGAACAAGGAGGAAATGATGGAATTCTTGAAGAGTATCCTGCGGCTGGACGAGGATCAGTGCGCGCGACGCGTTGCCCAGAAGTATCTCAAAGTCGTCGATCCTGATTATTACGAATTCGAAAGTGAGTTGACACTGCTATCGAGCATCTAGAAAAAGTCATAACAAACTTATTGTTACTTGTTTTGACAAAAACATATGTGTTTTTCCAGCTCACATATTTTTCGACGACGCGTTCGAATTGTGTGACCACGATGAGAACGAGTCGCAGGTGAACAGATTTGTCAAATTACTGGTCGGCACGCTGGACGAAGCCGCGTCGGACGTACATAACACCAGAATGCACGTGAGAGCGCCTAAAAAGTATCCGACTCCGTATGGTGGACGATTGGTTTGGACTCTTCCCGGCAAAACGAAAATGATCGCTCATCTGAAGGATAAGAGCAAGATTCGACACAGGAAGCGATGGAGTCAGGTAACTTGAATCTTTTAGAGTTTATTCAAAATTTAAAAAACTTTTTAGTATTATAAAATAAATTTATTTTTAATTTAAATTCTAAAATAAAAATTTTAGGATTAGAACGTATGTTAAAAAAAACAACAAAAAGTTGACTTAAATTAGCAAATTTAATTATATTACAACAATTCAATCATTCTTATAATATTCTTTTCGGATTTAGGTAATGTACATGTACTACTTGCTTGGACATCGACTAATGGAATTACCGATCAGCGTTGATCGCAAGGAAGTCATCGCCGAAAATACATTTTTGTTAACGCTTGACGGCGATATCGATTTTCAACCGGCGGCAGTAAAGCTTCTCGTGGATCTGATGAAAAAGAATAAGAATCTAGGCGCTGCGTGCGGTCGTATTCATCCAGTCGGCTCCGGTAAGTCATGCTTTAACGATTTAAG